GCCAATGAGAAACCAGTGGATGGGGGAGGAGGGGAGAAATCATGAAGGAATGGAAAAAATCTGCAGTTTAAGAAATATTTATAGAACGACAAAGAATTGACAGACAAAACTGATACCGTTTTTGATCCGTAGAAATTATAGACTCTCAAAAAGGCTAAATATCTGAGTCAATACTGCCAAGAGGCATTACAGAATATTTCTGAATAAGGTCAAAAGAGAGGTTCTGTTGTCATATGTATATAGCAATGCACAGATGCATCCAAGAGCAAGAAATAGTGACTGACCTTGCCTGGGAGGACAGAAAGGTTGGAAAGACCTAGGGAGCAGGGCTCACCTGCAATCATGTGCAAGTTCTCAGCCAGACACTGAAGATGTCTTTAAACATCTTTTATCCACATGTGACATTGGTGTCCTTTGTCCTGCTTTGCATCAGAAATCAGAATAGACAGACCAAAGACTTCTAACCATGATTCCAGGCTGGGAAAAAAAAATGTTTAGAAAGTGAAAAGTTTAGTTACTTTGCTCTTAAAAAGAAAGACAAGTGAGCATTTTTGTGCAGTGCCTAAAGTCACTTCATGATGTTGGTCTAGATGTCAGTTTAGTCAGGCTGATAAAGGCATACAAGGATTCTGAGGAGATGGGGAAGCTGGAGGCCATGTGAGATTTGGTACCTGGTGTCCAGTACCTAAAACAGTATCCAACTTGGCAACTAAAAATCTGGAGATTGCAGAGTTTACAAACCACCTGTTTTTTATTCCCCTTTTGTCACAGGACTCAGACCAAGGTCAACAAAAGTTGCTCACTTGTTTGTTGGAGGTTTGGGCAATGTCAAAAGAGGGCTTTGAGCTCTGCAGTGTCAGAGCTGTGTCCACCACTACATGTACTATTTCTCACTTAGCAACCTTGAATTTCATCCAGCATTTTAATAACCCTGTCACTCGGTCACAAGATCCTTGTGCACCTTTCCACAGGCTCATTCAGGACTGAATGTTTCGGGTCATTTTGCATAATCCACACACCTTGGTACCCTCATGCTCCAAATTGTTCTGAAGGTGTTGATGGGTGGGGCCTCAGATGCTGGGCACTCACATCTCTCAGTTGCCACAAGGTTTCAACCTGGAAAGGATGGTCTTCCCTGTCCTCAGGCAGTTCTTAAAAAGGTTTTGCCAGCCTGTTTTTTCCTAAATTCTATTCCTTTTCATCACAGGGAGGGGGGTGGGGAGTTGAGGTGTGTGGTGAATTTCTTGCAGCACCAGTTACCTGTTCACCCATTTCATCCACCTGAGTCTCGCATGCGGTTTGCTGCCCTTCATGTCACAGACATGGTCTCAAATCCTGATGCTTCAGTTTTCAGTGATGCCTTCATCTCATTGCTGCAGAGGAAAATCTCGTGTCTGGCAACACCCCAAAGCTCCTCTGATAGCAAAACATCAACTTTACTTTTCATTCACAGGCTTAATCTTCCCTAATCGCTCCCACGCCATCTTACGGCTTTTTGGCAGCTTTCTTATCTCCAAGATGCATTTGAAAGAGGTTTTCAGCCTTCTTCCTTTTCTATTTGTCACAGACTCTCTATTTTTTTTTCCTTTAGGTTACTAAGTTCCATTTACTAGTATTTATGAGTTTTTCTTTCATTTTCATTTGACTACAGCTTCTGCTTTTTGACAGCTGCCTTTTCAAATCTTACGCTGTGAAGTATAACCCAGCACTACTGTTCCTTCTAGGGAACACTTAATTAACTCCCTCAAGAGGATGTTACTTCTGTAGTAAGGTAATAATACACAGAGGTAAGTCAGCTGCCCTAGAGTAAGAGATTACATTCAGCTCAGAAGAGTAAGTAACAAATTACTTGTTTTTGCAGCATGTACACATTGTGATTGCCCAAAGGTAGGCAGCTTGGTTTTGATGAAATGTGAGTACTGCTGGGGTATTTGCATACCCCAAGTCGTGAACCTGCATTTTTGTGAATGGCATCAGTCATGAAGGAGGTTGAAACATTATCCTTTAAGATGTTTGTGTTTTCTAACTGTGTCCTAAGTCTTTCAGAGTCCTGTATCTCCACTTCCTTGCCCTGGTCTTGTCAATTGCCCTGGTCTTGTCAATCAATCAAAGACTGATTACTTCAGAAGTGGATACAGGATGTTTTAAAAGTCCAAGACCTTTTTTTTATTGTGCTTACACAGTCACCATTTTGTTATGCTTTGGAGTGATTTTTCAAGTGAACTTATTTTCCACATCTGTTCAAGCTGGTTTTCGCTACATGTCACCTTCCTTAATGCTCAAGTTTCACGCTGACATCTCAACATGAAGGTGGTCTGAGGACCTTTCTTGGGGAAGCAATGCATGTGTAGTAGTCTGTGCAAATGCCAAGGAAGTATAATTCCTCTAAATGTTCAAAGTTACTATAAAACAAAATTTTTCTGTAACAGCACTGCTATTTACCCTTAGCTGTCTTAAAAAAGGAGAATAAAACGTAGAGCTTACCACGCCTAGAAATGGTTGGCTGTCCATCAGAGAAGCTGTCAGCCAGAGAGCTTTCCCAGGTGCATCCCTCTCCTACAATGGCTCTGAACAGTGAGCCCTGGTGCCTGGCCAGCCATGGAAGGCGGAGTCAACCTTTTAGCCAGGATCAGTGTCTTTCTCTACCTTCCCCTTGCAAGGTGCTCACAAACCAGCATGGATTGTGGCTTGTGACAACTGCTCTTGGAGTTGGTTTGTCCCAGCAAAGTGGCACAACTGCTTTTCACTCCCCTGGCTGAACGAGAGCCTCTTCATGTCTGCCTGAGCACCTGCCTTGCCTGACCAAGCATTTCTATCTGCTTTCCTTAAAAACGCTGTCAGAACAAACCTAGAGCTCCCCTACTTGGGGAGAAACTCCTCTGCATAGAAAGAAGCAGCTGCTACAGCAGATCTCCCATCTTTATCTCAATGCCATCCACAGTCATATATGTCAAATTTACAAACTGTTTTTAAAAAATGTAATTACATGGGTTTTTTTAGGTCAGGGTTGCAGTTCTCAGACAGGCTGGCTACTGAGCTAGTTTTTCCATCTGTCCAGAGGGGCCTTGCTGTGGTGCCATCTGCAGGCACACTGGATGCAAAATAAGGATTTGGAAGAGCTGTGCATTTTAGGGAGGTTGTATTAGAGAGAGGAAACCAAGCCCTCCAGGCAATCCAAAAGCTGCATGACTAGTCTGCCACACTCACTCTCTCCGTTTCCATACAGGACCAGCCATGTTTTAAATGCTGCAATTCCTGGCTTTCCTCACCTCAATACCATGTATTTTTTCTAGGAGAGATGAGATTGTAAACCAGTTGAAATATTATTTAAAAACAGAGTGAACCTTTATTCAAGACATTCCCAGCAGCTGTTAGTCTGAGAGCACATCTCTTCCTCCACCCTGAGGCTGTATGACTTTGCTCATTCCCAGAGCAATTTGATCTCAGGTTGGATAGGGCTCATGCTTGTTAAATAACAAGAATTCTTTGCTCCACCGTTTTTCAGGCAGCCTTATCTCGCTTAGGAAGCAAGTCTTTTTATGAGAAAAAGTTGACTCATAGAAATGTTCTAAGTGTTCTAAATGTTTTAAGCCAGTTCAGAATATGTTTTACATGGGAAAATGGGACATCCATCCTTCCCCCGTTGAGGTGTTTCAGTAGCCTCTCTGCACTTCCAGATCATCAAGCAAGGTGCTGACTGGCATGTACACAAATATGCAGGCAGCAGCACAAACAGAACAGCCATTCAAAGCACCCAGGCACAGCAATCAAGGAGAGGATGGGACCAACGCAAGACTCATTTGTAATCTTGACAGGTCTCCAGGCTACACAGCTCTCCCCAGCAGAAACCCAGCTCCATGGGAGGGCTGTGCCTCCGGTGAGCTCCAGCACTAGGCAGCTCCCACTTGATGTCAGTTACCTAAAGCTTCAATGACGGGGCCATTTGTGGTGTAATCCAAGTATTTCTGCTGTCCCAGGGCTAACAACCAGCTCCTATCCAAGAGGCAGGTTATTCAATCTCCTTCTCTTTGCAATATAACTTTGAGTCATCGCCCTCTAGTCCGGCAAACATTTAATTCTTACGCAGCCCAACTGCTGGAGATAAGTGGCTCTAGGAAATCATGTCCAGCATACCTTGATCCTGAGAGTTAAGTCCTCCAGCTTATGTCCTTGCAGCATCCAGATCAGGGTCTAAAGCAGTTGGGGTCCAGACAACAGCTCCAGCCGTGCCTGCCAGGGAGAGAACACATCAGCCCTGAGATGCTAAATTAAGCTGCTAAAAATGGAGGGCCACGTGATTGTGTGCAGTGCGTTGCTTATCTGTCCTAGTGCTCACAGGTCATGGAAGGCTCTGTCCCTGCCCGGCAGCATTCATGCTTCCACAACTAATGCAGGGAGGCAGAGGGCTGACACTCACCTTGCAGAGATTTGCTGCTCAGCAGCTTAACTGCAACTGCCCCTCCTTACGCACAGAATTAAGCCAGAATTAAGACTGGCCACCACCATGTCGGTGATGGCCTCCGACACGTCCCTAGGCAGCCATTTCCTCTGGGGCAAAGCCAGTCCATTTTAAAAGGTAAAAGGAAGTAAAATACCCTCCTTGTAACACCAGGAGTATCTTCCTTGTCCCTCACTGAGGCAGGGGAAGAATTAATTTGTTTCTTGTGCCCCTTTACCAAACCAAACTCAAGAATCATCTACTCAGCACTTTTATTCTGCATACACCCATCAGATAAGCAAATCCAGAGCTCGGTGTATGGAGCCACAGAGCTGCTTTCCATCCTGCCACTCACCTCTGCTGTGGAGCACGGCCCTGCACCACACCTCGTTTTGGCTCAGGGGCTGGACTCTGGGCTCTCCCATGTGGAACAAGCAGCTCAGCAGGCTGCACTCCCCAGCTCCTCACTGCAGCTGGAAGAGACTGTGCCATGCAGGCGCCTGCAGCTTCTTGTTACGGACATGCCCCCTCCTCCCATCTCCCCCTGACAGAAAGACAAGGCTTTTCAGATGGTGATCACTTTTATTGATGTAAGGTGGTACACAAACAGATCAGTTTCTATCAGCCTCTCCACCTCCCCCAGGCTCGGGGAGAAGTTGGAGGAGTGGGGGAGACAAGGGAACAGAACTGGCCTCTCACTGCAGGATGCAGAGCTAAGCGGTGGTGAACAAGGGCAGGGGCTCCAACAAAGGAGAGTCCTGCTTCCCTAGGCAGCAGGGGGGCCTGTGTGCTCAGCTTACTCCTTGGATGCCATGTGGACCATCAAGTCCACAACACGGTTGCTGTATCCATATTCGTTATCGTACCTGGGGACAGAAAACAAGCGCTGTCAGGGCTGACCCGTTTCCTGCACCTCTTCTTCCTGCTCCTCTGCCCTATTCCCGCACAACTGAACTCCCACCTACCCTCCGGAGGGGAAGGAGGCAGCCATAACAATTTCAGGTAAGAAGCAAATCTCACTCCACAGTGAGACTGGAGGTGTGTGTATCCACCTGGATCACCAGTGGTAACCAACAGGACCCAAGTCTGTAACCTGTCTGTGCCAACACCCACATCCCGCGCTAAGGCTGCACCTACCAGGAAACCAGCTTGACAAAATGGTCGTTCAGTGCAATGCCAGCACCCGCATCAAAGGTGGAGGAATGGCTGTCACCATTGAAATCACAAGAGACAACCTGAAACACAACAAATTGTAATGCATATGGTTGCCCACAGTCTGTACCCCAAGTGCCCAAACCAGCATCCTGGCAAAGCTGCTGCCACAACAGTCTTTTAGAAAAATGAGCCAAGTGCCGATAACCACAGGCTGAGAGAGAGATCCTTACCTGGTCCTCTGTGTATGCCAGGATGCCCTTCAGGGGCCCATCAGCAGCAGCCTTCACTACCCTCTTGATGTCATCGTACTTGGCCTGAGGGGAGACAGATCCAAGATGCTCAGATCCCAACTCACACAAAATGTCCACCGGGGACAGGGGAGGGAGGAGACACATGGCAACACCCCAGCAGGTGCTCTTTTCACAAAGATTACATCTTCAGAACAAGATCAATGCAGAGAGGGCAATTCCAGATGCAATACAGGGCTTAGAGGAAGCAGGGGCACATCTGGAAGTTGTTAGGACCTCATCCACAGCACTTACTGGTTTTTCCAGACGGCAGGTCAGGTCCACAACAGAGACATTAGGGGTTGGCACACGGAAAGCCATTCCAGTAAGTTTCCTGTGAGAGACATGAGTCAGCAAGGAACAGCATCTGGCACACCTCTGCCAGCCTAAGAAATAGCCTGCTTCCTCCTGACACCTGAGAAGGGACAACACTCACCCATTGAGCTCAGGAATGACTTTTCCCACAGCCTTAGCAGCTCCAGTAGATGCTGGAATAATGTTCTGAGCAGCACCTCTGCCATCCCTCCAGAGCTTCCCAGAGGGCCCATCCACTGTCTTCTGTGTGGCTGTGATGGCATGGACAGTGGTCTGAAGAAAGAGCACAGGAATAAGAACACAGCCAATACTCTCCAGGAAGAGTGACACAGGGAGAACAGATGCTTTCCCTCTCACACAAGGGGATCTGTGGTAGGTCACCCTCCTCAGCACCAAGCTGCAGACCTACCATGAGACCCTCCACGATGCCAAAGTTGTCATGGATGACCTTGGCCAAGGGCGCCAGGCAGTTAGTAGTGCAGGAAGCATTGCTGGGGTAGGGAGAGAAAGGCACATCAGCCAGAGGCAACACTTCCACTGAGGTGAAGTGAGACCCCTGGCAGCTGGTGAGAGCTCCAGGCCACAAAGCATGTTCCTCTCTCTTTACCTGACAATTTTCAGAGACTTGTCATACTTCTCATGGTTGACACCCATCACAAACATGGGAGCATCAGCAGAGGGGGCAGAGATGATCACACGCTTGGCACCACCCTTCAGGTGAGCCTGGAGAGAAAAAATGACATAACTCAGGATCCAAGTTTGCTCCTTCAGATCTCTTCTCCTTCACAGTCTCATCTCGAGCAGCTCTGTATATGGTGCCCAACAGGAAGAAGCAGCACTATCTTCTCTTTCCTATGCCTCCATGGCATACTCACCCCAGCCTTCTCCATGGTGGTGAAGACACCAGTGGATTCCACAACATATTCAGCACCAGCATCTGCCCACTTGATGTTGCTGGGGTCACGCCTAAGGAGAGACAAAACTTTAAGGGCTGCTCCATGAGACACTTGCTTTCAACTTCCAGAGGGGCAATAGGGAAAAAGATACTTACTCCTGGAAGATGGTGATAGCATTCCCATTAATCACAAGTTTCCCGTTCTCAGCCTTGACAGTGCCCCGGAAGTGGCCATGAGTGGAGTCATATTTGAACATGTAAACCTAATAAAGAGAGGGGGAGTGGAAGGTCAGGCACCCAGGCTGCCATCATCCTCTAAGACCCTGGGAAGTTACTAGAACAGGTCCAGAGAAGCCCTACTCAGAAAGGCCCAGAGGGGGCACTGCAAAGCAACTAACCATGTAGTTCAGATCAATGAAGGGATCGTTGATGGCCACCACTTGGACTTTGCCAGAGAGGACGGCAGCACGGGTGACCAGGCGGCCGATGCGGCCAAATCTGGAGAGAGAAAGACATGTGTGAGGAGGCACAACAGGGAACCAGCACAGCTGGGCATGGGAGGCAGTCCTTGGCAGCCTTCCCTCGGGATCATCCACTGCTCCCTGCCCGCTGGGGCGGGAGGGAGCCCTGCAGCTCGTCCAAAGGCCAAGGCACCCCGGTTAAAGATTAAGAGCGACCCCCGCCCCGGAAAGGTCAATCGCTAAATTTACTGAAAGTCCCGGGGATCCGGTTACTCCTCGGCCCGGTACGAGAAGGTCACATCCCGGGGCCGCCATTGACACACGATCCACCGGGAGACCTTTTGGTGGGGGGCTGCAGGGATCCCCGGGAACGCGGAGGGAAACTGAGGCAGCCGGGCAACGGCAGCCCCTTCCGGAGTGAGTCACCCCAATCCAAAGAGAAATGAGTCAGCAGCACCGCTCTGCCCCGGGGGGCGCCGGCGGAGCGGGATCGGCGGGATTCAACCTCTCCCTTCCCCTAAATCATCCCCCGCGCCCTTGAGGCGACCTTGCCCCCCCCCCCACCCCCAAATCCCCG